CACATACCCTGCATGTTACACAATCCTGAGGTCCTTAAGCCATCCCTTTCAACATGTTTTCAAGAACTAAAGAACAATAAATTCAAAGAAAATTTTAAAAAAGTTCTAGTAAACCCTTTGGATATGTTCCCAGGTTGACAAATGCCTTCCTAAGAGTCTTTACTTAGCGTGCAGCTTGCTATAAAATCCAATTTTTTCTCAGTTTTCTATGATCAGGGAGGAAGGCTGCCTAGTTATTCTTGTTTCTGCAATGAAAACCTCCCTAGATGCAAGTCTGTGTAAGGCCTGGGGGGAGGTTTCAGGTGGTAAAGGCCCATTCCTACTTGGTCGGGGAGAGTTACTATCACCCCCCAATTCCAGTCCTGTTTACAAGTAGTGTTCTTTGCACAATGCGTGATGAGAAAGCACTAGTCAGTCTACAGGAAACTGCAGCATCAGGGAGAATTCCTAACCACTGGAAGGTCATCTAAAGTCAACTAGAGCATCTTAGGAAGCACTAGGTCTCAGTGTGGAAAGGATGGGATCTGTAAGTTTACAGGAAGAGACCTGAACTTGCGTGCTCCTGCTGCCTTGCCTGGAAGGTCCCTGCCTTGTTAGGACACAGCCAGGATAATGAGGGCGTGGATCATGGACTTTGCAGCTTTCAGAACTGTAAGAAACTTTTTTTTTAATGACCAAGTCTATGATATTCTATATTGGCAATGTAAAACATACAAAGACTCTTTTTTTTCCAAAAAGTTTTAAAAAATACAACTTTCTTTGTGGAGAACCCAACACGATGCCCTTCTGTCAAAGTTTAGGCTCTGGAGAGAAGCAGTATCAGTACAGGCAGGCCCGAAGGTCCTGATGTAGGTAACTGTGGGCAGGCCTATATAAATCACCATCTATAAAACATATGTGTGATCCACACAGTCCTGAGAAGACCATTTGGAAACTACAGCAACAAAACAGAATTACAAAGTGTGGGTAGGCTGTGGTGCCTGCCTGTAATCTCATCACTCCGGAGGCTGAAGCAGGAGTCCCAAGCTGGCCTGAGCTACATATTGAGTTGAAGGCCAGCCTCAATGACTTAGCAAGACCCTGTCTCAAACAAACAAACAAGCAAGAATTTCTATGCAAATCGTTATGGCAAAGGCCCATTGTACCAGGTGAGCAAGCTGATCCTTAGACAGTCTAAGTATTATATAGTTTTGAACAACTGGTGAGATAACTGAATCAACACTTAATCCCAGGGAATATCTCACTCAACACAAGTTGTGAATGCAGGGCATTCTCCGACAGAGGAAGCTGCCTCTCACTCCAGGTGTCCAGCTAACCTAGCCAAACCAAAGCTCTCCCTTTCCTTCCTCCCCTCTCCCAGTCATTGAATAGCAGTTTCACTCTCTGCATTACTTGACTGAAGATTCTTTGTACAGAAAATCATGGACATCTGTCTTTCAGATGCTCCAACTCTCCCTTCCATGGTCTCTCTAACTGTGCAGTCCTCACTGTGGTCCTCCCCCTTGCCCACTGCTGAGCTCTCTCAGGATGCCCTGGTGGAGGTTCCCCCTCCCAATCTCCTGGAGCAATGTAGGGTTCAGGAACACAGTCCCTTTATGCTCCACTGCTCTGATATCTTATTTTGCTTTATTCTATCAACTTCCTCCAACCTCTTAGGGAGGTTCCCAAGGCCAAGTTTGCTAGTCATTTTCCTGTGCAGTCATTTGGGGATGCAAGAAAGGCAAAAGCAAAGAGAACACCCTCTGAGCCTTTCCAGAGCTATAAGTCTTTGGTGGTGGTTTGGGGAAAACATTTTAGTGGTATGCAGGCAAATATTTTATTTCAATAGTTGTGTCTTTAATATAGATACTATTTGGGGCAAGGAATGTTGATTGCCCATTTGTGGTTAAAATGTAGTTTTATTTTAAAAATAAATGATTGATAAAGCAAGGTTAATTTTAAAAGTACATATTACTTGGATATTCAAATGGACTAAGAAATGCCTGAAGTTTATGGAACACTGTGTTCTGCTAAGCCTACTCTGGACTAAACCTTATCTGCCCCAGATCAACACTTCTTGAAAATTGGTCCCTCCCTTTTCTGAGCACCTAGGGTGGGCATGCTTCTCATGTACACAGTCACAGACTATATGTTTTCAAGACAACCCCCCCTCCCATGCAGGAACAGTGAGGGTGCTTCTAGAATAGCTATTTTTTCTACCTCTCAACCTACTGTTGACCTAAATCAGATCTACATCCTAATTTATAAATTGTTTTTGTGCAGTCATTACTCAAGAGGCAGGCAAGGTAGCACACCACCAGTGTTCCTAGTGGCAGAAATTGGAAGCTCCCATTGCTTGCCCTGCTCATTTCAGCCTTGGTCAGCTGGGTGCCAAGGCGCTTTTTTGGGACTGTGCTGTCTCATGCACGGCACAGGAACAGCTTCCACAGGAGGCAGCTTTGGGAAGAGCTGATGTGGCACTGGCCTTGTCATTCTTTCTATATGAGCTGCGACACCAAATTAGCAGCTTGCCCTATGAAGGTACTAATTAGGAAGAGCGATGTGAAAATAGGAACTAGTATATACTGAGTGAGCTGAGTGCTTTGCACACGTGTTTTTAATCCTTAAAGATGACTAGCATATTCTCTGGGAGATGAAAATAGTCATATGATCAAAATCACACATTATTACAAGATATCAATCTGCATCTTGTCCTATGAATAGCTACAATGAAGACTACAATATGCAATGTATTAATTATGTAACTGCCCTACTAACCTGTTTTGAAACTGTTTCATTACTATTTTATCTTTTTTCTTATTAAAACGAATAAAAAGAAAAACTATCTAAAAATCATATATTGTTTATTAAATCAAAACTCTTCCTTGTTTCTCTTCCTTTTCTAATAGCCTAAATATCTTGCTATACATTGATAGAAAATTCAATTTCTTTATCGAGATGAGCTCTGATGCCCTCTAGTGACAGAAAAAAAAAGTTTGGTAGGACCAAGGTTCCTAAATATCAAATTGTCTTGAAACTGTATAGGAAATTATTCTCATTTGAGCTTAAAACTAAACTAGCTAATTTACAGCAATTAACTTTGCTGTCAATGTATTCTTCTAATGCTGATCATAAATTCTGGGGACGCAGCAGTTGAGCTCCTTTTAATAGTAAGAACTTGGATTAATCAAAACCTGAGAATTGGCCTGATTGGGCAATCCAGGTTTCAGTTTCAGTATGGTAACTACCCAGGACTCCGGTTATGTCATCGTAGCTTTTTTCAGAGTTTCCTCTCAGCACCAATGGACTTCGCTTCTAGCCCGGGGAAATCTCCCAGCTCCCTTCACAGCCAACCACATCAGTTCCACAGCTCACGTATATATTTCTCCTTCAAACTCAGTGGAAAGCAAAAGGGTTTGTGTCCCAGTATTTCTAGCAAAAGTTCCAAGACTTGCTCCAACTTGATATTGGCCAAGTGGAGTTTTCTATCCCAGTCCCCTGCCCCACAGACACATTCAAACTCTAAGATTAAGAGTAGATTAAGAGGGTCGGAGAGATGGCTCAGTGGAATAAGCGCTTCCCTGGCAAGCGCAAAGGTCTGAGTTCAATCTCCGGTTCTGCAAAAATAAATAAATAAATAAATAAATAAATAAATAAATAAATGTGGATTAAGAAATTTGTTTACATTAAATTAACCTAGAATTTTCTAACACCCTTTGATCATGAAACACATTTATCTACACAAAGCACCTCTATGGTTCCAGTGAATTTGCTGGGAAATCAGGAGTGGGTGGGAGGGGGTGGGAATAGAGAAAGTAAAGCCTTGAGAACCAGAGTATATTTCAATTCCAGGCTCTGCTATTTATTAACTAGCTGACTTTGTCAGTGTTGCTTAAATTGTTTTTTGGCTACAATTCTTTATTTGCAAAGTTAATAAATGTTCACCTGGTCATAATGATTGGTACTAAAAATGGATAAATTATTTGTGAAAGTTGCTGGTTCAGAATTCACCCTTAAGAGAGGTTGACTTGGCCAGCTGTGCTTCCTTGTTCTGTTTCTCTGGCCTTTCTCCCTCCACTCCCTACTCCTTCCCTTTCTCATGATGTGTTAACATTCAAATGAACTTTTCCCTTTTGAACTAATTTCGGATTTACAGAAAAGTTAAGGAGCTAGTAGAGGGCACCGTACACCAGCCTCTTTCCCATGCATTTCTCTTTGTGCTGGTTTCACCCCAGGCTGTGAGGAAGACGGACACCCACAGGCTCTTTTGCTTGCCACTGTCAGTCTCCTGGAAGGGAAGGCCACGAGACTGGGTGCAAGTGCAGAGACAGACCCAAAACACAGCTGAGGGAAGGCAGGAAGGAGGGTGAGCTACCCCAGATGTGCAGGGCTACCCGTAGGAAAGCCCTCAGGAGTGGAGTGGGCCAGGGCCAGGTTGGGTGGTGACAGGGTTGGGGAGGGGTTGCTCATTGAGCCATGTCCACCTGAGGAAGCCAAGCAGAAGAAGCAGGAGGTACAGAACTTGGTGCTGGATGAAGACAAACACTGAAGCCAGCAGTGGTGCGCTCAGGAACTGCCTCGGATTCCGGCTTGTTATTGATGTTATCACACACATCCACCTAAAGAGATATCATAGCTACTTTTCCAAAACAACAGTGACTTTCAACAGTGCTAACCAAGCTGGTAAAAACTGTAAGTGGTTTTTTTTTTTTTTTTCTTTTTCAGAGAAAAATGGTCAGGAAATAATGAGTAACAAAATAAAGGAAGTGATTGTGACAGTTTAATACAGCGGGGCCTTTTTGATTTGTCATTATTAGCTTTGTTCTCCTTTTGAGAAACACAAACTGCGGGGATCTTCTGCCCCAGAATTCTATGGCTGGGATGTACAGGTACAAATGATGATGAATGTGATCGGTATGTTGGACAAATGTATACTAATAAAAAATAAAATGAAGACAGTAAAAACCCATGACACTTCGTATTGCATTTTCTTGGGACCACTGCCACTTCATACAGAATTCAGGGGTTTCTCTGAACATCTCGTGTCACAGCCACAGGCCAGGAGCAGAGTGCCGGATGAGGTCTTCCTCTCAGCGCTCCGCAAGGAGCCCAGGCTCGCACCGTGCAAGATCGCTGGGCTGGAGTCCCAGGCTGGGCTCACGCCGTGCCCATCCTCCCCTGGACGAACCGCAGCCGCGGCGGCGGAAGGGCAGCACCCCGCCCCGCGGGACCTCACCTGAGCCTAGCCGCCGGCCCACTGGGGAAGCGCCCGGGCGGGGAATGCCCATTTGTGTAACAAACCCTGACTCCTTCCCCATCCCGGCCTCCCCTGCGCTTGCCAAGTTGCCGAATCGAGGGCGCCCGGCGCACCCTGCGCTCCCGGCCACGCTGCCCCGACCCCGCCCGCCGTTCCTGAGGTCTATCTGGTCTCTCCGCAAAGCAAACAAGTGTTTCTAAACTGCGTCCGCGGAGAGGGAAGCGTCTCAGAGTAACTTGGCCGAGCCCGGCGGCCGGCCGGGGACACAACGGGAGTTGGACTTTGGCGGGCGGTGCCGCTTCTCGGTTGGGCGACCCGCGCGGCTCGGACTGGACCGGCTCGTGCAGCGCCGCGGCTCGTTCCCCAGCCATGCCCAGGACCCGGGCTCTCCTGCTCGCGGTGAGCCCTCCGGCGCCCGGGGCGAAGGGGCCACGCGCGGTGGGGCGGCCTCGGGGCGCGCTCGGGGCGGCGGCTGCGTGACTAGCTCGCTGCAGGGTTTCTCCGGCGGGGGTGCCCCAGAAGTGGTCCTGAGGGAGGCCTGATGCGGCGGGGAGGGCGGGTAGAGCCGGAGCTGGGCACCGCCGATGGGGCCCGGGTTTGGACAGCTGTGCAGGCGCGGGGAGACCCCAGCCAGAAAGAGCAGAGCCTCGCGTGTATCTGTCCTAGCAGGCCAAGCTGAAGAGCCGCCTTGGGGTGCTGGTGGTTGAAGTGGGGCGCGCCCACGAAGCTGGGTGGGGATGTGATAGGAAGGGGTGGGATGGGCATGTGGGTGGGGTGGGAGGGATGGGATGAGGTTGCGGTGGGGATGGGGGTGGAGTAGGAATGGGGTAGGGATGGGGTGCCGTGGGGTTGTGGGGAGTGTGAGGGGGGTGTGTGAGAAGGTGGGGATGATGGTGGGATAGGGATGGGGTGCGGTGGTGGACTGGGGTAGAGGAATGGGGGAAATGGGGGGTAGTGGGAGGTGTAAAGCGGTGGGGATGGGGTGGGGAGGAAACTCTGGTCTTGGAGTCCTTGCCCTGCTGTTTTCCACAGTTCTCCAGTCAAGTCAGCCGCAGGAGAGCTTTCGAAACGGCTTTTTTTTTTTTTTTTTCAAAGTTGTCATAGGCAAGGCGCCGCCCTGGAAGTTTATTTACTTTCTCATAGCAACACAGAAAAAGAAACTATTGTGTTTCCCTTCCGGGAATTCTCCTTAAGACACTAAGTCACTGCTTCTTGGGTTTTGTTTTTGTGTCCTTTTTCTTCGCTCGCCTGGTCTTGGCTTGGCTGTCATCGCTGTCCTTTGGGAGCGCCGGCCGCGGCCTCGACTCCGCTCAAGAATCTGTGCCTCTGGCACACGCGGGGAACCAGCGCCTGGCGTCCGGCTCCTGCCCCCTCTGCGGACAGTCCCCCGCCGGGAAGCGCCAGCTTGACGAGCGCTGATGGTAGAGACGTGGCCCCAGGTGTTCGTCTGAGTTCCCAGAACCTATGGGCTCTTGCCTTGTGGGGCCCTGTGGAGTGGCTGGCCCGGTGCTAAGACATGTGGCCCCAATTCTCAGAGCAGCCCGGAGCTGGGCAAGAAATCCTCATCTCTGTTTCACAGAAGGAGAAATGGGGTTCAGAGCTTGGATCGTACAGCTGATATGTGGCAGGGTTGACTTGGATTCCAAACTGTTTCCTAAGCCCAGGCGGCTTGGGCAATAGCACCGGATTTCCAGAATATACCGACAGTACAAAGGAAAAGACTGTCTTGTTGGGGACCATTTTAGGATGGGAAAACTAAGACTGAGTCTGGTTCTTTCAGAAAAAAATGTCAGTCATAGGGCCCTTTTAGAAGTTTCCTTGGTGAAAACTCAAGATTCAAATGGAGAAAACAGTTATACATCCTCAAATCTGTCTCTGTCCCTGTCTCCATCTCTGTCTCTCTGTCTCTGTCTCTGTCTCTGTCTCTGTCTCTGTCTCTGTCTCTGTCTCTCTCTCTCTCTCTCTCTCTCTCTCTCTCTCTC